GTGGGGCTTTCTTATTTATCTTTGCTAGATACCACAAATGAAGCATATTTCATATTGTTTCTTTCTACACAGTGCTAAATCCAAATAGTTATCTAATGCCTGAAGTGCAATTTAACCCCTAACCAAATACTGGGTAGAACTGCTCTACATATATGCAAAGATGTGATTATCAGTTATAGCATCCATTCTGAAACATCTACACCTATAAAAATCACTTTTCTTTTGCCATTTCCTCCTACACCAATTTCAGTCTAAACGAATGGACATCCTATAGCTGTGCTGATTTTCTAGTTAACACTGAATGGGAGCAGCTGTAATATTAATAAAGTGATATACACATTATCCAAATGTTCAGTTTATGAGCTGTTATTTAATTAGGATTTTAGGTTTTATTGAAGTTTATTAGCTATGCCAGGAAAGACATTTTGGATGGTTTTCTTAACAGCTTGCTTGAGAAAAAGGAATGGCCATATTTCTGCCAACTAGCAATAACAAGCTGAGATGCCTCCAGATGTCACTAAAAGCCAAGAGGCAAAGAAGACAAGGAAGCAACCTAAGCAAACACGGAAGTACAAGCTCCCCCTTCCATAAAGAAAATTAAATAGCTTCCTTGTGCTAGTTACTATACAGTACCTGGACTGTTTATTGTATTTGCTTCAGCACAACTGGCTTTTTCACAAGTATTTTATCAATAAAGTATTTTCAGAATGATTCAGAGGAAAAAGCAAATCACAGGCTCATATACTATTTTTCTTCCATCCACATTTCCCATTTCTTCCTTTCAATTATAGAATTCTTTAGCCAACCTTTTTTCACCTCTGAAATAGAAGCCATGCACTATTCTCTTTGTATATGTATGTATTAAAGAACAAAGTGAAGTAAATTCCAGATATACAGAAACGAATACTTAAGAGAGATTAAAAGATTCCCACACAGTAAAGAAAGAAGAGGATCCTACTTTCCACTCCACTTCACCCGAGATTCAGCAAAGCTTGCTTTTATTTTATTTTTATTTTTAATCAATTGTGCAGTATTGGCAAAATGCTTTTTAATCAGTGGACAGAAAGCATACCAAATAAACACTTGAAGCTAAAGACGTATTTCACACAATCTATGGCCCATCAACCAGTACCTAATGGATGTTTTTTTAAATCAAGTTTGCGGCTTTCATGCAACGCTTCTAATCTTTCTGTCTGGGGTTTAGAAAAAAGAAAAGAAAAGAAACATGCTTTCGTTTCCCCAGGTAGCTCAGTACTTGGCAGCAAATCAGTAGCTTTTTAAAGCAAGGCTTCTGGCCACCATTTCCAAGAAATAGTTAAAAAGAAAACCTGGCACTTGCTTTCTCTCTCCCCACTACAGGCGCCCCAGTCAGCTGTATGTACTACGTGGTCAAGTCAGTCCATTTTAATCCGGCTCACTTTATTTACAAAATAGGCATTAGACCCGAGGCTTTCCGTTTCTAAAGGGAGGTTCTTTGGGTTGGGAGGATTATTAAAAAACAACAACAACACACATGCATCGAATAATCCGATCGTTTAAATCTCGTTTCTCAAATAATCCTTAGTTTTAGCATCCTCGTTGGAAATAGTTTCTTACAAAGGAGGGAAATACTTTGCCTCCCAGTTTTTGAGCAGGAGAAATTCAGATTTCCTCTTTCGCTTCTTTTTCTCTACCAAGGCCCATGGACTCGTCGCCGCCCGGAAGGGCGATGCGTACTTCAGTTCCAGCAAGGGACCCCCAAGGAAGATATATCCCTTTCCCCGAGAAAAGGGGACCCGGCTGGGGTGGGGGGAAGGTTCAATCCCTTCACGAAAGAGGGTTTCTAGCCCTGGAAAGAGCGATCCGGAGACCCATTGGGAGCATTTACCTCTTGAAATCCCTCATTAGCCTCCGCCTGGCTGGAGTGGACATGATCTTCTCGCCCCGATGATCGAAGACTCCCGGTCGCCCCCTCCCCCAAAAGCCTCAGCACCGCTCCTAGCGCAGCTGCCTCGCTCCTCGCGCTGCTTCACAAACAACTCTGCAATGGCGTCTCCCTCCGCCGGTGGGAGGAGGGAAAGAAGCCACCCTTCGCGACTGTACCACTCGGCCCGCTTGCGGAGGAGACCTAGAACGCCTTAGGAACGTACCACCGCGCCAGCGTGAAAAGGGGAGCACCCTTTCTCCGAGAGGCCGCGGGATAGTTTTCGCTCGCTTTTTTAAGCTTGAGGGACGCTGTTGGCGCGCGCGCGATGTTTTGCAGGTTTCACTTGTAGCGCATTCTGACTTTTGATTTCAACATCGGGTCTATTATTCATGTTTCCATATATTAAGCACAGTTCCCTGATGGTTAAGTTGTGGAGGTGTGGTATAAGCCTTATGAAGAATCTAATTATAATCAAGTCTCACGGATAGTCCTTTAAGAGTTAATGTATCATCGCGTCAAAAATTGGTTAAGATGCTACACGATTATTTTTGCCGCCTAATGTGACCAGCAACGGAACCTATAAATGTATGACTGTGTGTGTATATATATGTGTAGCCACCTTGCCCAGCAAAGGAGTGCTTTTTTTTTTTTGCCACAATCTTCCAATGCTTTTTTAAAAAATACATCTTTGTTCTACGATGAAATCGAGGTTGCTTGGGTAACAGAGGCAATGATGCCCTAAAAACAGGTGGGTAATGAAAAATTCTTGTCCTTTCTGATCACTTTGTTTTCTGCAAAATGACAAATAGTTAAGAAGCGGATCCAGATAGTCCACACAGAAGCAACTATACTAATGAAGAGAGACGCGGGCGGACTTGAATGAATATAAGAAAAAAAAAAAAACAATTAGCAGAATGCCTAGTTATAGCTACGGAAATATTGCAAGCGTTCTGTTTGTGTGCAATGAAGCCCGATTGCCTAAATGCGCTGAAAATAAAGCGAATTAGCCCTCGATCCAGCATATTACCTATTAATTTAGAAAATAGTTTTACCAACGGAACTACGGCGTAGCCGAAACCACCCTCTCCTGAAACATCTGTTCCCCCTTTCGAGCATCTGATGGTACAAGGTGTTACACGGGGACAAAGAAATGGGCTTTTTCTGGGCTGTGGGCAGTTGGCGTCGTTTGGTGCTTTCAATCTAATTTTTGCCGATACGCGGCTTTTTTTTTTTAGGCGGGACAGCGACGTCGTCTTCTACCTGGGAGTGACGTCACCCAGGACCTTGCCTTGCCCGAAACCTTATCGAACGTGATGACGTCGGGCCTGGCTGTTGACATAGCGGCGGTTGCCATGGAACTGGGCCGGTTTGCTTGGCTAGACCTGGGAAGACTCAACATGGGGATTTCCCGGGAACAGGTTAGGAGCGCCCTAGATAAGGGAGGGCAACTGTGGGATATCCTGGTGTGACGCGGGAAGGAGGTTCCTTGAGGCCCGGAAAAGAGCAGGTTGGGTGGGGTGGGATGGTGAAGCTTGCTCAGGTTGCGTTTTCAAACGCTAGCATGGGAGGAGATGTGGTGGAAGTGAGGAAAAAGGTTGCAGACTGACAAATCACCAAAATCCAAATGCAGGTTAAAAGCAAATGATTATTTTGCAGTCTTGTAATAATCCCTTGCTCCAGAGAAACCTTCAATATACTCAAAAGTACCTAAATAAATGTGCAGGGGATTGAGTTGGATATGCATTATGCAACTTCCAAATGCACCAAAGGGCACATTTGCAATGGCAGTTAATCAGAAATTTCCACTCTGATATCCCCCATGGTGGGCAGGAGGATCCTAATTTATTTATTTAAGATTTATTTTATATGGCCACCCAACTCACTCTCAGTAACTCCTGGAGGCTTACAAGGATAAAAGCCCAATGCAAAAATAAATAAAATGCAATAACCTCCCTGTGCCCCGCTGGCGACAAGAATCAAATGCACCATTTGATGGGCGTCATCTCATTTCCATCTGTTAAATTGTTTTAATGCTTCCTGCAAAAATCGGGGAATTAAACATTTGCCATTTTTCTTCTTGAGAAGTCGGAGATATCCATCATAGCAGAGTGTACCCAGTACAGAAAATAAGTAAATAAGGATAAGCCACAGAGAATGCAGACAACATTGTTCAATAGAGGGAGAGGTGAGCTGGTCCTGGCAGAAATATGGATTACCTTTCCTACATTTCTTTGCTATTGACCATTCTGGTAGAGATGAATAATAATTGAAATGCAACCCTCTTCAGGGGAAGAACTCTGCTCTTGATCCCTCTCTTGGACAATTTTCTTATATATCACATTTTCCATGTTTTCTGCAATTAACCATTTGGGAAATGAATATTTCTAATATTCTTATAAATAATAGTTTCTTCAAATAATCTTAATGGAAGAAGAGAATCTTTTTAACAGAGAATAAATCCAGCCAATATGCTATTTCTAATATATTTGCATGATAAATGTAGCATTAGGAAATGGAATGTAATAAGAGTCAAGAGTAGACTATAAACTAATTGCCTGATTTGAATGCAGGCTACTCTTTGTATTGCATGGGATATGGTCCACCAAATCTTTAGTCTTAACAACTCAGAGTCATTCTGGATCAGAGCTAAAGTCAATTTATTCAACTATCTGTTCTTTCAGTAGTCAACTTATGAAAAATTGATAAGCAGAGGCTCAATAACATTGTTATGACCTCAGCAACAGTCAATTGGGATCATATTATTTCTAATACTGGTGGGAGCAATGTAATTTCATGACCAACAATTGCAGATAGCCTTATCCTTCAGTAGTCCTCTCAATTGAGAATAAATATTCAAAAACACAAAAGGTATTGATACTAATTGCCCCCATTTAGTCTTGTGGAACTAGGATAAATCAGTCTCTTTAACCATTATATAGCTTATTAGCTAGAAGATGATTGATTTTGATTGTGTGCTATCAGGCCAGTATATCTGTAAGCGTAGGCATAATTTGTCTGCTAATGTTTATAAGTATGTCTTAAGAAACAAACAAAAATAAGACTGGTTAACAAAAAAATTTTTTTTCTTTCAGAGATTTCAGACTTGAGTATGGAGATGTATGAGATCCTTGGAAAAGTGGGAGAGGGAAGTTACGGAACGGTAATGAAGTGTAAACACAAGGAAACAGGACATATAGTTGCCATTAAGATATTTTATGAAAAAACAGAAAAATCTGTCAACAAAATTGCAATGAGAGAGATAAAATTCCTGAAGGTTTGCTTCTTTTATTTTTTTGAAAATTAGTATTTTTAATAGAGGCCTATACAACTTGTAAGGGGAAAAAAGCAACATTAATACTGTAAATGAAAAATAATTACAGGCATGGAAAGAAATACCTGATGCACGAATCAGTTGTTCACCAGCTAGTAGAGCTGTGGTAGTGATAGAACTGGCAGCGAGTCCATCTTTGTGCTGCCAGTGGCAGTTTATTAACTTTTAAAAAAATGCTGGTGGGCCACATGTTGTGTTAGGTGTTTTGATATTAAAATTTTGATTTATAACGTAGTAAATACATATTCTTTCCACTTTGGGTGTCGAATATACAAAATGTGGGTTCTTGCACTTCTGGAGGCTTCAACCATTGTTATTTGATGCTGTTGTAGTGTGTCTTTGATGTTGTCTCTCCATCTTCTTTTGGGTCGGCCTTGTGTTCTTTGGGCTTCTCTTTTTGTATATGCCTTGTATGGTATAGAATCCCAAGATATTCTCTCCAGGTGAGCAAACCACTTAACCGGCTGTCTTTGTATGTAATTTAAGATTGGTTCTATTCCAGTTCTTTATCTTATGATCTCATTTTTGATTTTATCTCTTCTGGCCACTTCACAGCTTTCCTCAAACATTTCATTTCCTTGGTGACTAACTGTCACTCATGCTTTATTGCATATGTCCATGTTTGGCACTGATAACATAGGGTGGAGATGAATATAAATACATACTGGTATAAGTAAAGGGATTATGTTTATGCCAGAGTTATTTTTGTGTAAGCCTTTTAAAATTAGCATGCAGTTTTAAAAAAAAGAACACTCACCTGAAAGTTCCAAAGAAATTAATTACATTTATTACTGTATGCATTTATTATATTATGTGTAGCATCAAGGGCTGACTTATTCAGAGTTGGCAGTATTTATTTGTTTTACCGATTTACATTTTTTAAAATATGTGCTTAAATATTTTGAAAAATATATTTTTCAGTGAGATTGTTACAGTGAAAGTTGAAGTTATCCCAGCTTTGGTTTGCTGGCTATCCCAATGGAAGATTCATCTTGGAAAAACACTTTAAATTTATCCTGCTGCAGCTACTTCACATCTTCATGTGGCTGCAGCAAAATATGATTATGTTATGCTGTTGCTTTCAGTAGCTAATAAACATAACATTTAGAAATACACCAGCAACTATATATTAATTATATAGTATTTAATAATAGAATTATTTTTATTATCCCTCCATTTCCGAAACTTTGTTTCTGTGAAAGGAGTTCCTTTCATACCCTCATGCTGTTTAACTTTTATATAAATCTGTTAGGTGAGGTGATCTGGGATTTGAATGTGGATGTTATTGGTATCCTGATTTTGTCCCACTATATTCCTCCCTTTTACTGGAGTTATATGCTGTTGCGCAGGTAAGGGAATACTGATTGGATACTCGAATGACCGAGACATGAAATTCATCCTGATAAATTGGAGGCTGGATAGAATTGGAGTTCTCAGATCTGGGCATTTGAAAAATAGCTTACTTAGATAGGATTACACTTTTGAAGACATCAATAACTTCGCTGTCTCTCTAATTTTCTGGCTGAATATAGAGACAGTTAGTTAAACACTACAAAGGCTTCCATACAAAGTTTCTTTGTTGGATCTTATTAAGCATTCTCAAGGTATAACAGTTATGTTGAGATTCATCTAATATCCAATCTTTGCATAGTCGTCTTCATAGGGTGAAAAGATGGTTATCTTCATCCCATAACGATCAAAGGAAGGCTCCAGCATGATGCTGGGGTCCGGGTAGGAATGAACAAAGGCTCCCCCAACCCAACTAAAGGTCAATTCATTGACCAATTAGGATTACAGATGTGACCACATGACATGAACTACATCTCCCATGAGGCATTAACTACATTTCCCATGAAGCATTCCCTTAAGGGGACAGCTCCCAATTCCCAACTAACTATATACTGTCTAACCAGCACAATTTTAGGGTATTTTTCATCAATTTTTGTCATTGAAAGAGCAAGTAACTTTGACGAATGGAGCCCGGTATATCTATTTTTAGTCAGGGATAGAATATTCATTCTCTGAAATATTATTTCTGAATATCTATGAGGTCATATTTGAAAGTGGCAAACTTTTCATATCGATTGAAAATACCATATTTAAGATCAGTGACTCTTTGGTACTGTCATACAAGCAAAAAGAAACGAAAGCTGTGATTTGTCACAGATCATCATAAATGGTTTCTCAGTTTCTTTTAGATTCTTCCACCTCACAGTCAGAAGTAATGTGTTTCCATTTGCACTGCTCCTGATCTTTATTTAGGAGATGTGATTCTGGGAGCAAGTTTTAGGCAGCGGTTTTCAAGACTCTTTGACCAAAATTTACCCAGAGAGGATAGACCAAGTTTTCTCTTTTAGGCACTGCAAGGCACTGGTAGGGCTCACAAATTCTGCAGATCCTGGTAACAGCACATATAATTCCCATAAAACCGATTTCAAAAGAATTGCATTAGGTGCCCTATATTTATGGTAATAACATGTGGTGTGATATCTCTCCTAGAAATATTTGCCTAAATATTGGGGTCTGTGAGTCTGTCATCTTTGTTCCCTTATGGAAGCTGTATGTTAGGAAGAGATAAAGAGATTTTCAGTTGTGAAATGTTAAGTTATGAAATGACTCCTTTCATGGGCCACTCATGCTACATAGTGACTCCCAGAAATACGTTAATATAGGTGGTCCTCTACTTACAACCATAACTGAATCCAAACTTTCCATTGCTAAGCAAGGCGGTTAAGTGAATTGTGCCCCATTTTACTTTTTTTCCATAGTTGTTAAGGGAATCACTGCAGCTGTTAAGTAAATCAGGTGATAGTTAAGCAAATGTGGTTCCCCCATTGACTTTGTTGGGAGTCAGCTGGAAAGATTACAAATGGTAATCACATTTGGGACAGTGCAATTATCAAAAAATGCCAGTTGCCAAGCACCTAAATTTTGAACATGTAACCATGGGGATGCTGCAGTGTCGTAAGTGTGAAAAACCAACCATAAGTCGTTTTTTTCAGTAACTTTGAAGTCCCTAAAAGAATTGTTGTAAGTCAAAGACTACCTGTAAATAGTGTAACAATTTATAGGCTGCTTGACTCCCAAGAAATGAGAGGCTTTACAATTACATCACCATGATGTAAAAAAGATGTTGAGACTCTAGAAAGAGTGCAGAGAAGAGCAACAAAGATGATTAGGGGACTGGAGGCTAAAACATATGAAGAACAGTTGCAGGAACTGCGTATGTCTAGTTTAATGAAAAGAAGGACTAGGGGAGACATGATAGCAATTTTCCAATATCTCAGGGGCTGCCACAAAGAAGAGGGAGTCAAGCTATTCTATTCTATTCTATTCTATTCTATTCTATTCTATTCTATTAAGCGGGCAGATGAGGGTCCTCCCCCCGCCCCTCAGCTTGGCTTTCTTTGTGGGAAGATTCTTAAATTCAGAATTGGCTTTTGTGGGGTAAATTCCTTTTTTTTAAAAAAAAAAAAATTGTAATGTAGATGAAGAAAGTTTTAAGTTATTTTTTCATAGGTTATACCGTTAATGCTGATTTCCTAGTTAACAGTAGTGTTTGTGATACTTTATTAAATTACAATAAAATATATAAAATATATTAGCTTAAATTAATTATTATAAAAAATAGATGAACAGTAGTTTTCAAAAGTGTTGAGGGGGGTGTAGAGCACACACAATATTCTTTATTTGCTCTTTTGTTAACAGCAATTTCGTCATGAAAACTTGGTCAATCTGATTGAAGTCTTCAGACAAAAAAAGAAAATTCATTTAGTATTTGAATTTATTGACCACACAGTTTTAGATGAGCTGCAACACTATTCTCATGGACTGGATAGTAGAAGACTTAAGAGATATCTTTATCAGATTCTTCGAGCAATTGATTACCTCCACAGCAACAATGTAAGTACTTTACACAAATATTGTAAGTCCTGTACAGCAGTGATCCCCAACCTTTTTTATGCCGCGGCCCGGTACCGGCATCAGCTGGGCGCCGCGGCCCGGTACCGGCATCAGCTGGGCACCGCCATCTTTTTTTGATGAAAAAGTGCTTCCGGTGACCTCACCGGAAGCACTTTTTCATCAAAAAAGATGGCGGCGCCCAGCGCTTCCGGTGAGCTTTTCTGGGTAGAAATGGCTTTCTACCCGGAAAAGCTCACAGGAAGCGCTGGCGCCACCATCTTTTTTTGATGAAAAAGTGCTTCCGGTGAGCTTTCTACCCGGAAAAGCTCACCGGAAGCACTTTTTCATCAAAAAAAGATGGCGGCGCCCAGCAACCAGCGGCCCAGTAGGACTTGTTCCGCGGACCGGTGGTTGGGGACCCCTGCTGTACAGCTTGACTACTGCAATGCACTCTATATTTAGCTGCCCTTGAAGACCTGCTAGAAGCTTCAACAGGTCCAGAACACAGCAGCATGAGCAGTGATGGGTCTGCCTCAGTATGCCCACACATACTGTGGTTTGCAAGCTGCACTGATTGCCATTTAGCCTTTGGGTGCAATTCAAGGTGCTGGTAATTTCCTATAAAGCCCGTCATAAGACCTGGTTACTTGAAGGCTGGCTGTTTCCCACAGTATCTGGCTGGATTGATTTAAAGTGGCAGGGGTGGTGTTCTCTGGGTTTCTTCAATTAAACAATGGCATCTCTTGGGATTCTGGAAGCAGACTTCTGCTGCAGCAGCATTTATTACGTCAATTTAGTATAATAGCAAATCACTCCCATACTTCCCCTTATGCTTCCTTTTACCGAATCTTCAAGATAAACCCGGTAGTTTTCCAAACAAATAAACAAAAAATGTTTGAGATTAAAATTTTCAGCTTCTTTCATATATGTCTTTTAAAATTCTATTTAGAAAATCCAACAAGGCAACAAACATCCTTGAGCCACATAATTCTTTCATCTGAGCTCTTGAATTAATACTTGCTTTTTCTATCCATCCTGTCCCAAACATTCAACTTTTGAACAAAGGTATAATTCCCTTGTTTTCAAGACAGGCTTACAGGAAATTGAATTCCTAATTAACATTATGTTATTGCTCCTTCCAGTGTATTAAAATAAAAGCTATAATTAAAAACCAAACATTATTTTAAATATGCTTTGTTCTACTAACAGAAAAAGTCTAGGTTTAAATAAAATGGAATATAGTGTTCCCAAAATGATAATAAGCAGGCTTGTTAGACCCTTTGAAAATAATTAAATGGGTGTCATATTAAGATCTAAGCATGTAACTTGCTTTTCAATCCTTCCTATTATTGCTTGAACCAGTATAAAGCTAATAATACTGACAATATAGATAGGCTTTAGTTTTAAGCCTGGCATCAGTTCAACTATTTCATCTAGATTTTTTTTTCTATCTCCCACAAGATAATTGAATGTTTTAGATATTCTTTTATTCTTAGTTGTTTAGCAGTCTGAACTTGTATTCTTGTTATATTTACTGAACTAGTTAGCCTTTAATATTCTGTTTTCAAACAACATATTTTTGTTCTTAAACCAGATTCTACATTATTCTTCTGCTAGGTCATTCACCGTGATATTAAACCTGAAAACATTTTGGTTTCACAAACTGGAATAACTAAGCTTTGTGATTTTGGATTTGCTCGGACTTTAGCAGCCCCAGGTGATATTTATACTGATTATGTAGCTACAAGATGGTACAGAGCTCCAGAGTTGGTGTTAAGAGATACAACATATGGGAAGTAGGTGGTTTTTTTTAAAATTACATATGGCTGCTCAATATGTATCATTAATTATTTTTAATTAAAGTACAGTCACAGAAAATATTCCAAATACAAAATTCTATAAACTTACTTGTGGTGAATTATTAATAGTAAAGGAACATTAGAGGGCGCCCTGATACATACTCTAGTTCTTATTTTGATTTTAAAAAGTTCTTGATTCAGACTCGACTCCTAGTAAACCTCTGGAACCTTTGTACAGTAACAATATGGGATGGTTTACCATTGCTTATTCTGGATTCTTGTTTATTTATTTGTTTGTTTGCTTTCCATTCCACCCTTTGAATGAAGGCGCCCATTCAAATACTAATCAGGCCCAACCCTGCCTAATTTCCCAGGTCAGCCAGGGGCTGTTGCTACATGCTGAAGTGTTCCTTTTCTTTTTCTGATAAAGACTAAAAAGTATTCAGGGTCAGCAATTTGCAGAATATCATAGACATAATCTATAGTTTGAAGAGAACTATAAATGTTGTGTTATGGTAAATCCTTGATTACAAAAGCACAAGTAAAACAGTTTCAAAAATTTGAGCTGGGGAGATTTGGGCTACATTAGGCTCTGCCAGATGGATGTACACACAAAGTTTGGTATCAATATGAAACTTTATACAAAAAATATACATTCCTTTTGCAGTCAGCCTTATGACTATATGAATATGATGATAGGAATGCTGCCAAACTCTTGTTCTAAAGCAGGTGGGTGAATTTGGTCAACTTCCTTTCATGGCAAGATTTGTAATAAATTATTTTAGAACATGTATATGACAAGAAGTAAACATTTGTAAGTTTAGTCTTTGTATTGTTGAGCACTTTGTTCATTTCCTGATCTTAGACCTGTGGACATCTGGGCTTTAGGTTGTATGATTATCGAGATGGCCACTGGCAACCCCTATCTACCCAGCAGCTCTGATCTAGATCTACTTCATAAAATTGTGACCAAAGTTGGTAAGTGCTGTTCTTAATGTTACTCACAGAGAAGTAGTAATCCGTGCAAATCTATTGGTCTAGAATAAATGCATTTAACCCTATACGTCTGTCTGTTCAGGCTTTGGGATTTAAGTTTCATTAAGGGGAATGGATGAATCATATTTCTTTATCAAAAAAAAAACAAAAACACTTTCAGTAAAATTTTACTTGGAAAGTTCTAAGTGGCTTCAGAATGTCTCCATGTATTCTTTATGATACATAAAATAAAAATTAGTGTGAAGCAAAATAGCGTTAGTTTTTCCAGCACTTGAATTTCTGAACCACTTTGCTCTCTGCAGCTTTCTCTTTTATGCCCCCCCCCATATAAAAGAGATTAAACAGTTTATTGTTCATGCTATTTTACTTGCTTGACTTCAAATACAGATTTGAAGTCTCTCTCATTTCTTAACCTCTCCAAAGTCGTATTGGAACATACTGATCCCATGTTTAAATACTTCTTCACGTATTATTAATTTCAATTATTCAAATTATTCCAAGGTTACTCCAAAAGCCAGAAGCAAATGCTTTCTATAAATGTATATATAAAATTATTTTAAAATAATTTATATAATTAATTGTAGAACTGATCTAAGTATATATGTTATCTGTTTACTCCTTCCTTTTCTTTTTAAGTTTTATCTTCTATCAATTTTTACAATGTGTGGTCTTTGGGGCAGGGATCTATACACTTACACATTATATACTTAAAACTTATTTTAATTGACCATTGGGAGGATGGATTGATCGTTAAATATTATAGGGCATGACATCACTCAGTAATGTGAAATGCAAATATCAATTGATACCAAGCAGAAGAATTTAAATAATGACATCATGCAATTGAGATGAATTACATTGCTTATGTTATTTGCATAAGAGTGTCATCATTAATCATCAGATTTTTTTATTTTGCGTGTACTAAATGCAAGTTGCCAATTTCCTTCAAAGCTATTTTTTTCCTGAGATTTAGAAATCTAGGTGTGTTCTCCTTCCAGAGTTCTGGAAATGTTGCTTCCAACTCTGCATGGTTTAGGTTCTTCCCTCCCTCCCTATCCATGTTCTTTCTGTGGGAAAATTTAAAGAAAGAAAAGTCTTCAGCTTTTTACCTTATTTAACTTCAAGATGAGAGAATTTGCATTTACCTACAGATGTAGACAACATGTTGTCTTAGAGTTACCTTATGACAGGTAATGTTAGTTTGGATTTTCAGAAATTGCACTACTCAAGGTACCCCTTATTGTGCCTCTATGGGTACGTGTACAATCTGTAGGACTTTAAATAATTACTAAATACTCATTACAATGAAATAAATCCAAGGTCTTAGACAGGTGAATTTATTCCCATTACACTACAGATGTCCAATGACAACTGAGACTGAAATTACCATCCATAAGTGATGCAGTCTTAAAGTGCAACTGCACTGCTAAGCGATGGCAATCCCTGCAGTCCTGGTTGCCATCGTAAACTGAATTCCAAGCTAGTTATGCAAGACAACTGCTGCCAGTTCCTAGAACCAAAGTCAGGACAGAAGCTGGCAGGAAGTTGAAAATCCCAGGATAGCAGGCTGCTAAGTGACTGCTGCTGGGTGTGGGAGAGAAGTTCAGCTCCAGCTAGGGAGTGTACGAGTGTGTGAGAAAAGTGTGGATTGGGGAGGGTGTGTGAGACTCCAATGAGGGTTGGGAGAGCATGCAAGGGTGTGATTAGGGCTGAGGAGGGTAGGTGAGGGTGCAGTGCGGGTCAGTAAAGGTGTGTGAGGGTTTTGTAATTAGTACCTTTGGACTATGGGTACTATCTCCTGTTTGACTAACCAGCATTCCCCACATACCTGACAGTGTCTACTGACATCTTTCCAATTCCTGACCAGCAGAACCTATCTAGTATTCGATAGACCCTTCTTTGTTTCTTTGTATACATTGTCATTTCCTGCCAAAATATTTTTAAAAAAGTGTCTTCCCTCTGTTTTTCCACCATATCAATACTCCATTGGAGATCTCCAGTATCCAGAGGCTATCCTCCCCCCTCCCCCCCCTTGGAGGCGTATACATCCTTCCTTTCCCACTCAAATCGGGATGAGAAGGGAAAACATCTATTGCTTTTGAAACCTCCTCTTCCTGTTACATGCTTGTGCCTCACTAGTTATTCTTACCCCCCCGCCCTTTGAGGATATGTTTAGCCAGGAAAATCTGTCCATATTTGTAGTCAATGGGGCAATTTAGTACTATCACAACCATAACCACCATAGTTTCTATTTCACCCTTAACTTGTATATTTACTCTACATTGTAGTATAGGTCTACTATGGCCATAAACACTTTTTAAGTGTTCTTTGTCCACTCTTGGTACTTTCTTGACCAAGTAAGGACAAATCATTGATTTGCTTCCTAAACCTGCAACTGGGGTTCCATTGATCTTAGCTCACATTGTTATTTCTTATTCTCTGGATGCTTGCAACATGGCTGAGAAAGATCCCTTTCCTTGGCAGATTTGACAATCCTGAAATAAGTGCCCTATCTTGCCACATTTATAACAGGACCTATTTATTCTTTGGTTTATTTATCCTCTCTTTTCCCTGCATACCTCCTTTTTCTGTCTCCTTTTTTCTTCCCTTTCCAACCTCTCCATGCCCCCTTCTAGCTTCCTCAGTTTTTCTGACTGCAAGATAATCTTCAGCTAAGGAGGCTGCCATTGTTTCTGTGTCTGAGTGACACTCTTGCACCCAAAATCAGTCAGGATCTCTGGGAATTATTCCAAAATACTTTCATCCGTACTATGCCTATCTGGCTGTAATCATTTTCTAGCTAGGTCTCCCAGCCTTGCCTAGAGTTCTCTCACTCCTTCCTATTCCAGTTATATTCACGGAATCTTTGCATATTTTATGACTTCATAATAGTAGAGGATCACACCTCTTTTACTTTATTGTAATCCACCTTCTCCTGCCACCCTTGGCCATTTACATGACATTATTGCAAATTCAGACATAATTGAAAATGTCTCTGTATCTTCATCACACACTTATGGATGGATGGATTTTTATATACCTAACATTCTGTTTCTTGAGGAGGGAAAGAAGGTCCCTGTGCTCCTTTCTTTGAGCTTTTCTTTCTTTCCCCTTCCTTTTTCTAGGCAATCTCTACATTCAGCCTCCTGTTTTGTTTCCTCTTCCCTTCTTAAGAGATGGCTCTCTTTGCTATTGGTGGTAGTATCTCCTCATAATACTGGTTCATGATTCTGCTGGACTGGATTTGCTTAAGCCCTCTGCCTCATATGCTTCCACTGTTGGATCTGAATCTGTGTGATCCTCAGTAACCATTTCTGCCTTTTTTGGGCTGTATCTGCTGCCCCCTCGATGTGTCCCTGAGCTTGAGGGCATTTTTATGATTCCAGGGTACTAGGGATTATATATGAAGAATTATGTACCAAGTACTGGTCGCATTGCTTCACCTCCTTCGTCATGCACTTATTTGAATGTCTAAAGTATCATCTGCATACTTGGAGCATGATATTGTGATTTCTTGTGAGGAGTTCTTTCGATGATGACAACATGCCGCAGCATAGAATAAAAATGTTACATAATCTTTAAACACTTTACTCAGCAGTAGGCTTTTACCCTGGCTGTTATTCTAACTCCACCTTCTTACTCTGACAAGTTGGCTTAGCATGTAAACAGGTGAGGCTCAGTCCTTACAACAGCTAAAAATCTTAAAGTTTGTAAAATGGGATCCAGACCTTGCCTCTTTCCAACATTTTTTGTCTTTGTTGGGGTTTATATGCTTCCTTAGCATGACTGTTTCTTTTGTAATTGTTGCCATGATCCAGGCCAAGCTCTGCTCTTAAGCAGTTTTGGTATTGAGCATCCAAGCTGAATTCCAGGCAGGGATCAAACACAGATGGGCCACTTGCCCTGCTTTTGGTCTTGACAGTTGACCGTCAGCCATCTTGATTGCTTGTAGCTGCTATGTGTCTGGTTGTCCCTTTGCACTTCCTCATTGTCTAGATGCCCCTTCTTTGTGTGCTCTTCTCCCACTCACACATACAGATGCACATTCTGTGTTGGCTTTTCTTTTTTTTAGACTAAGGGGATGAGTGGTCTGTGGACGTTGGTACATTCTTGGAAAAGCCCAGGAGGTGACTCAGCTATCCAAATGGCATGTTGTTATGCCAGTCAAATAGCGCTGGGTGTGACCAGATGACCAACAGAGTTGCAGGTGTGGATATCTATAGATGGACATTGTCAATCCATCTCTCTCACCTGGCTGGAGGGAATTGAGCACTCATATTTCCAAGACTGTAAACCTATGTCCTTTTGTGGAAGGGGCTGAGCTTAACTTAGCCTCAGGAAATGGGGTGGGTGGCGTTTCTGCTTGGCTGTAACCACACCATTCAATGTTTTTATGCTGTTTCTCTAAAGCACAGAGAGCAGTTCTAATTCTCATGTGTCTTTCCCTTCCATTATGCATGTGATATTACTATATTTGTTATTAATCTGTCTAATCTCATGCTAATAGTATTATATTCTGATAAGAAGGTATACAAATATGGCTAAACACAAATAAATACAAATGAAACAATACAGGAGAATGGAAATAGCTGTCTGGAACATTCTTCTCCATTATACTTTCTTCTCTTCAATCCTGAATATGGGATGGTGGTGGACAAAATTGTAGGTTGAATGTTTGGGAATTAATAACAATCCTCTGCAAATATACATTCATCATTATCATCTGTATATTCTATAACCCAGAAAATCACATCTTGGTGCCCCTATTCCATTAATTCCTATAGCACAAGTATCTGTTAACCACTATCATCATCTTCCTAGGCTCGGGCTGTATCTTCCCTCTGCTCTACTTTTATGGTAATAGCACACACAAAAAAGGAAGAAAGAGAAGACAGACAAAACATAATTTACGCTGATTCCAGGACAGGTTCCTTGTAAAAAAAAACCACTTAGAACTATCCTTATGCATGGGTTTCAATTCCACCCAATGAAATAAGCACATTAGCTGAATTGCCAAGGATTCAGGATGGGGGAAAACATTTGATACCCCTTATATATGATCTGGACTTCAGCTTCCCTCAGACCTTACCAGGATAATCAGTGATTATAGAAGATATCAAATTGCTTGTTCGTGATTTGACAAGGCATGTAAAATAAAAACAATGTCAGTGATATTGTGGTATTCTCAGTTTTTAGAGTGAATTTTGATGTTGATATGCCTGTATCTAGAGCTTTACAATAGAGTTCTAGGTAGAGACATGTCAGTAGTATGTCCTGATCAATAAAAATGTATAAAAGCAAGGCTGTTTGGGACAAAATCCTATGTTGCATTATAAACATGAATCTTAATATGTAGCATGAAACCAGAGATGCCCATTCCTAGAAATATAAACAAGTGGAACATAATAGGTAACATATTCTTTTGTGTGTGTGTCTGTGTTTCTTTGTCTCTGTGTGTGAATGCTACTTTTCCATAGAAATTGGATGTTAAGGAAACATTGGACAAAAATCTAATCTTACAGACATACTCCATTAAGTGGACTTGCTTTAAATTAGAGAAAAATGGAGGAAAGATAGTTTGTAGCCTGTACAGTGTGTACCTTTACCTTTTTAAGTCATGTTATCACATTAACAGAATAAAGTCTATAAGATTACTTTGTTAAAGTGGTCCTACCACAGCTGCATTAAGACTATCAATATCCTTCACTATAATAATATTCCTTTAAAATGATTAACTATTTGGAAACCACAATCCACCAAACAACTATTTGGTATTTCTTAAGAAGTTAGTAATGAAACTGACTTTAAATAAGGGGTGGGCTGCTGGAGGTTCACAAGGGTTCAGGAGAGACCCTAGCTAAGATTCTGTGCAGTTCGGAGAACCCCCAAATCTCAATTCTGGCTGGCCCTGTCTATCTCTCTCCTCCCAGGAGTCCCCACGTGGCTAGTTTTCGATACAGGTAAGTGCAAGGTGTGCGTGGAGGCTCAGGGAGGGCGAAAAATGGACCTCCCAGAAGTTTGGGAATGCCGGAAATGGGCCCGTTTTCCAGCTTCCAGAGAACCTTCGGAGCCCGGGGAGGCCATTTTCACCCTCCCGGAGGCTCAAGGTAAGCCTCCTGAGCCCTCGGAGGGCAAAAACACTCCCCCCCGCCATGGTGCAGGAGGCTGACTAGGCCATGCCCACCATGGCCACGCCCACCATGGCCATGCCCACCCGGGCAAAGAATCTGTTGCTAAAATTTTTGAAGCCCACCCCTGCTTTAAATTGATCTACTTATTGATCTCTTAATATGAATAAAATTATCTTAATCTGAGTTGAATCTTAAAATGTGGATGCAAAATCAATGTTAACTAATTTACAAAATATTAACAGTCCAAGAATAATAAATGTGGGAGTAACTTGGATTATTTATTTGTATGTTTGCTGTCTTTCAGGAAACTTGACACCTCACTTTCAGAGTATTTTTATAAGGAGCCCAGTTTTTTCAGGGATGGTTCTTCCTGAAGTTCAGCATCCTAAAAGTGCAAGAAAAAAATATCCCAAACTCAGTGCACTACTTGCAGATATGGTTCATGTATGTCAGAAGAGGTCTGAGTATCAAGCTTACCTGATGATTATTAATTGTAGCCTAACATTCTTTGTATGTATAATGTATACATCTTGAACTATCAGTTGTATTTAGAAATGGGAAAGAATCTTGTCGCATGATATAAAAACTTCTTTGTTGTGTATTTGTTTGTCACTGCCCTTTTCATATCCTGTAGAGGTTTTATTGATATTTTAAATTTCAATACAGGTCTAAAGAGAGATATTTGCATATTTCAGATATCTTTTGAAAGTCCATGAAAATTTCATTTTCTAGTCTAAGATGCTATTTTCCATTTTTATCCAACAGACTGTTGTAGAAAAGCTCTGAGTATATCTTCAAAGGTACTGAAAGACAAAGAGAGGTACTCTATTTGAGCAGCTATGCGTGCATATGTATGAGTGTGAGAGAAAAATACATACTTTTAAATCAACAGACGTGATTTTATTACAGCAAGTACCATTTTTAAAAAGGTACCTTCAGATCAGTCTTGACTCCTAATAACTACATGGACACATTCATATGAGCCTTGGAAGAATCAAAGATTTTTGGATGAAATTCCTATTGACTTGGCAATTTAATATGCAGGAGTAAATATATATTAGACATATTTGTCACATATCCTAATAAATTGATATTAAATAAACTTCTTAAATACATGCTTATTACTGTAGTTGAGGGTGAAGGTTTGTTGTGTTTGCAGTAGCATATTCAGGTTTTATGTGTAAGTAGAGTTTCATTGTTGCTTTCTTAATTGCATAGCACAGGGCAGAGCATTTGGAGAAAAGATGGTGTCCTAGGTTGAGATGTCTTGGATTATCAATCATTCCTTTAAGCAGGGTTGGGGAACATTTGAGCCATACTGGCTCAGGAATTCTGGGAATTAAAGTCCACAAGTCATAAAGGAGCCATACAGGTGAAACTCGAAAAATTAGAATATCATGCAAAAGTTCATTTATTTCAGTAATGCAACTTAAAAGGTGAACCTAATATATGAGAGAGACACATTACATGCAAAGCAAGATAGTTCAAGCCGTGATTTGTCATAATTGAGATGATTATGGCTTACAGCTCATGAAAACCCAAATCCACAATCTCAAAAAATTAGAATATTGTGAAAAGGTACAATATTCTAGGCTCAAAGTGTCCCACTCTAATCAGCTAATTAAGCCATAACACCTGCAAAGGGTTCCTGAGCCTTTAAATGGTCTCTCAGTCTGGTTCAGTAGGAATCACAATCATGGGAAAGACTGCTGACCTGACAGTTGTGCAGAAAACCATCATTGACACCCTCCATTAGGAGGGAAAGCCTCAAAAGGTAATTACAAAAGAAGTTGGATATTCCCAAAGTGCTGTGTCAAAGTACATTAATAGAAAGTTATGTGGAAGGGAAAAGTGTGGAAGAAAAAGGTACACAAGCAGCAGGGATGACCGCAGCCTGGAGAAGATTGTCAGGAAAAGGCCATTCAAAAGTGTCGGGGACTTTCACAAGGAGTGGACTGTGGCTGGAGTCAGTGCATCAAGAGCCACCACACACAGATGGATCCTGGACATGGGCTTCAAATGTCATATTCCTCTTGTCAAGCCGCTCCTGAACTACAAACAACGTCAGAAGCATCTTACCTGGACTAAAGAAAAACAGACCTGGTCTGTTGCTCAGTGGTCCAAAGTCCTCTTTTCTGATGAGAGCAACTTTTGCACCTCATTTGGAAACCAAGGACCCAAAGTCTGGAGGAAGAATGAAGAGGTACACACTGCAAGATGCTTGAAGTCCAGTGTGAAGTTTCCACAGTCTGTTGATTTGGGGAGCCATGTCATCTGCTGGTGTTGGTCCACTGTGCTTCATTAAATCCAGGGTCAGGAGATTTTGGAGCACTTCATGCTTCCTTCCACAGACAAGCTTTATGGGGAGGCTGACTTCATTTTCCAGCAGGACTTGGCACCTGCCCACACTGCCAAAAGCACCAAAACCTGGTTCAATGACCGTGGGATTACTGTGCTTGATTGGCCAGCAAACTCGCCTGACCCGAACCCCATAGAGAAGCTATGGGGCATTGCCAAGAGAAAGATGAGAGACATGAGACCGAACAATGCAGAAGAGCTAAAGGCCACTATTGAAGCATCCTGGTCTTCCATAACACCTCAGCAGTGCCACAGGCTGATAGCTTCCATGCCCCACTGCATTGAGGCAGTAATTGCTGCAAAAGGGGCCCAAACCAAGTACTGAGTACATATGCATGCTTATACTTTTCAGAGGTCCGATATTGTTATATGTACAATCCTTGTTTTATTGATTTGATGTAATATTCTAATTTTCTGAGATTGTGGATTTGGGGTTTTCATAAGCTGTAAGCCATAATCATCACAATTATGACATATCACGGCTTGAACTATCTTGCTTTGCATGTAATGAGTCTATCTCATATATTAGTTTCACCTTTTAAGTTGCATTACTGAAATAAATGAACTTTTGCACGATATTCTAATTTGTCGAGTTTCACCTGTAGTTCCTCACCTCTACCTTAAAGGTTGAGTAGTTGAATTTGCTGATGTTTTTAGTCAGCATTACGAGATTTTTCTTCCTTCAGGATATTCCAGTCAACTCTAATTGTATTTTGACTTAACACTTTCTACATGTTCTGACATGGTTTAGGACAGGGGTCGCCAACCTTTTGGACCTCAGGGACTACCAAACTCATAATTTTAGATCCCAGAGCACTAACTGGTTCTGTGGGCATGGCCTAATTTGTGGGTGTGGCTTGGTGGTCATGTGACTGGCTGGGCATGGCTTGTATGTAAATATTATAAATATTTATATAAATATTGAATTTTTTATATAAAACGAGCAACTTTTACCCAGAATCAGGCAAAGCAGGCAGGAAGATTGAGTTGCTCACAGAATCACAGATTCATTCAGAAATCTATCTATCTGCCATTGGCTAGCTCAGTCTGTCACATAAAATTTGCTTGCAAGCAAACTCACAAAATTAACTCACAACACACCATGTATGTAAATATTGAATTTTTTATATAAAAAGCAACTTTTACCCAAGATCAGGCAAAGCAGGCAGATTGAGTTGCTCACAGAATCATTCAGTGATCTATCCATCTGCCATCGGCTAGCTCAGTTTCTCAAATTTGCTTGCAGTGAGTCTGCACTGAATTTGCTTGCAAGCAAACTTTCAGTCCTAAGGGAGGTTCAGCTGTACTTAAAGCAGAGCCAAAGATCTAAAGACTAGCTAGAAAGCAAGAAATCCAACCATTTCCTGCTTCCTAGCTAATCTAAATCTCCCGGCAGAGCAGAACAGATGATGGTCAGAAAAAGGAAAAATACCAATTTTAGCAGGCAAGTTTACCGGGTAAGGAGTGAGTGGGCGGGGAGCGTACCTGCACACCCTTGTGTTTCTGTGCAGCCTGAATTAATTGCTTTGGGGAGGTGCTCTGGGGGTGAGATTTCTCTGTGGCCCACCAAAATTTTCTCACGGCCCACCAGTGGGCCATGGCCCACAGGTTGGCGACTGTTGGTTTAGGAGAAACTTTCTGACAGTGAGAACAATCAACCAATGGAAGAGCTTGCCCTCGGAAGTTGTGGGAGCTTCAGCACTTGAGACTTTCAAGAAGAGATTGGACTCCCATCAGTCAGAAATGGTGTAGGGTCTCCTGCTTGGGCAGGGGGCTGGACTAGATGACCTACAAGGTCCCTTCCAACTCTGATTATCTGTTATCTGGTTTATTATTTATTAGTTGCTCTTATTTCTTTGGGCAGTGTAGTGCTTTGAATTTGATTCCAAAAGGGTTCTTTGGAGGCCAAATATATGATCGTGGGGAAAGACATGATTACCTTAAGGAGTGGCAGACAGATGCTATATTTATATTCCTTCATACTCCAAAGCATACATGGAATGGGATTGATCATGCTACATAGTTCTACTGTTTTAAGGCTTAATATTATGGAAACTATTGGCCATTTATTAAATTGTATGAGTGGATTATAAATTGGTACAATATTATGGAAACCACTAACCATTATCAAATCTCAATAGTGGATTATAACGCTACAGAGCACACATCTGGCATTACTTTGGTTCAAACAAGATATTGTACTAACAGAAGATAAAGTATCTTTTGATCATTTTCATCTTTATTTAGAAAACATACACATCTAGTAATGCATAAGTTAACATAGATTTTCTTAGTAATGAGAAATATTAAAAATATCAAGATACTAATCCAAGGATCTTCAAACTTGGCAAGTTTAACACTTGTGGACTTCAACTCCCAGAATTCTTGAGCTAACTAACATGACTGGAGGAGGAATTCTGGGAGTTGAAGTCCAAAAGTCTTAAAGATGTCAAGTTTGAAGACCCCTGTACTAATCAATCAAAATGAATTAATTATTAAGTGGAAACATTGTCTCTCCATCATGTTCTCTCAAGTTAAAAATAAGAAACAAAATTAAAGGAAAAAATGCAGTTATCTTCAAAGTCTCTTCAATGGCAGCTCAATATTATCTGGCTACTTATAATAAAATACTTAATTTTCAAAACCTTTCCCCCCTTTTTATCTTGTTTAGTAGTTACCTACCTACTTTTTCTTGGGTTTTAAAAATCTTAACTGAAAACAAAGGCTATTTTTCTAAGTCTCAAATATTGTTAGCCTTTATTAACTAATAGATATGATTTTAGAAGCTACTGTTTCAAAATTAGACCTTTTTCTTTTAAAAGTGCTATTATTAATTACATGTATACATTTCAGTATTAATTCTGTTTAATTATGTCATGGTGGTCACAGTTTCAGCTTCTTTAAAAGTATAATGCAATTAAAATGCATAAAAATTCAAACAACTGTTTTTCAAGGTAGATAATTAACTTAAAAATATTTCTTAACAAATCTATATTAATAATTACAAGACGTGTGTACAATTTTCTATCCATTTCATAGCTTTTCTATTTTGTAGTTTGAGTTTTATTCCAGTTTTTAGCAGGATC